TGCTGATATCAAACATGTGATGTGCTTACGAGCGGACTTGAGACATGTAGCAGAGGATTAAACAGACGTGATCAGACATACTTTCACTAAACTAGCAAACCCTGGGCGCAACATGAACTCCTGGCTACGAGAGATTAGCTAATGTTGAACTTTCGAAGCGTGGCATTATTGGCCATGAAACATTACAAACCAATCCTAGCCAAAACTCGATAATCCGAGTATAACCGAAAGAAGAGGCACATGGTTTACAACTTTGGATGCACCGATTTCAGTGGAATGCGTGTCTGTGGTTAAGAGAAAGACTACTTTGTACCTGAATTTCTTTGTTTTGTCCAGGATAATTCCAACTACCACAGAGCCGAGGATGCCGGAGACGACCATAGTGAATCCAATCCATCCAATATGAGCGTCCGCCTAAAGGAAAAAAAAGAGAAAATGGCAGTCGATTTTCAGCCGCCAAGTAGTATGGTTCAGAGTTGCTCTATGCACTTTGTGACTAGCGGTCTTAAATTGGTGTGCCCCAGAAGAAGGAAGAAGACCAGCATATGATCACAACCGGTTCAACATGATTCATTACCGTCAGTGTATCAAGAGACATTAGGTGCAGGTCGCTTATGTCACTTCGCCAAAATAACGGTATTGTTGCTTAAATAGTTAATGTAAACGACGCCGATTGTTACACACATTTCGCAGTGTCGTCTCAGTAACACTGGCAATAACCGATACACATATATGTACGGAACAATGTGTGCTATCCGAGGGAAATTCTGCACATCGGTTGGTGTGACAGAGTTGTGGACAACGAAGTGTTGCGTCGAAGTTGAATATATGCAGCGGACTGCATACTTTTGCTGAGACACCTGAGGTGGATGCCGAAACAACTATTATATGGTCAGCTGAGCATTGGGAAGCGGCATGTGGGGAAATCGAAGTTACCTTACCAGGACATGATCAAAGTGAACCTCACACGTTCTAATCTTGATTGTAGGTCATGGGGATCGAAGGCGGTTGATCGGCGTGCATGGCGCGATCTAATCACGAAGGCAGTTGCCGAAGTGCGGGAGAAAGACCTCATACATGCAGAGAAGAAGCGACAAGTGCGGAAGCGGCAAGCACCGATGGGTTGTACTCCGTCGACATCGAGCACATGGTGCTGTAGCACATGCGGTCGTGAGTGCCTGAGCCAGGCAGGCCTAGTGAGCCATGAGCGAGGCCACTCGGGGCCACCACCGAAGCGACGACGGGTGCTGCAGAGAAGGTAGACAGAACCGGTGCAGCGTTTGTAGGTACGTTGCATTCCATTTACTAACCGCGTGCTTGCATGCTAAGTCTCTTTACTTTAGGTAATGGGTTTTCTATATTGTCTCATTAATGTATACGTGAATTATCTTCGAGTAACTTGCACACGTCACTCAAGTTAATTGCAGTTAACTTCGATAACACTTTCGCGCTTGTGACAGTTCCTTAAACTATATTTCTTGACGTCTTGAAACCATAGCGAAAATTTTGCCAACCAGCTTACTTCATCTGTTAATTTAGGGAAGAGTTATGTCCGCATAGCCGTATGCTTTAACAGATATACTTTTTTGACAATGTTATTTCAAGTGATTGGCTGTCGTTTGATATCCCCGGTGTGGCTGCACTTGATGTGCATGTTGACAAGGTGCCTACCTGTCTATTACCCACTACCTTGTCCATACTGGCTCCAGGAGACAATTGTTCGTTGCTGAAGGGGACGGGTTGCACGGTCCTTGTTGCCGTGCTAGACTCGAAGTGTGGTTCCATGCACTCAGTGTGGAGCGGACCACGGTCCAGCTACTCCCTTGTGTGCGACCTTGATTCCCAAATACAGCGTGCTTGTGTTTGCCTGTGAAGGAGCGTGGACCGGCTCCGTTGATGAAACGTGGCTCCCATCCACATGCCTACCGATATTATTCCTTCAGGTTTACACTGGAAATGGGGTGTGTGGTTGGAGCTGTGGGTGGTACAGCGCAAGCCACCCATGGTCGCTCTGTAGGCGCAGGCGTCCTGTCTCTGGCTACGGTGACAGGCAAAGCCGAAACCGGATGCCGCCAACCATATCAAATGGACAATTTACAGGATGAATGACTGGAAATAACCCCTGCATCTAAGGCAGCCTATGACTGAGAAATAATTGCTTTTGTATGCACATGGCTGGCTTCTTGTGACAGCCTCAGCAAACTGAAGGTTTTCTGGATTAGTGTGACACAACACAACTTTGGACACTGTGATCAGCTCTGTCCAGTGCATTCCTATCGAGGAAACCGGTGGCCTACGCTAGTATGGAACTCGAGAAGGGGAGTAGAGAATCTGGACAATTTGTAAGCTGAACCCATCTCAGTACATGCTCCGTTATTCAGGAAGTCAGAGTCCTATCGTTTTTGTCTATGTAACTGGCTTCGCAATGTTACGTGAATTGGTTACACAGAGGGAGTTGGAATAGTGGAATGTGTATTTTACATTGTTCTCCGAGCCGAATTATTAGTTTGCAGGAGTTCCTTCGTCAGGGGAAACAATACCGTCAGTGCGGATTCGAGAGCCTTGTTAGTATAGCCTCGTAGGCGCACTCAAGTTAAGTGCATATTGATCAAGTTCTACTTTGTGTGCCAGGTCTCAATAAACTCTCAAATTTGCCGGCTTGTTGCCTTTTAGTGGATTGTGGTGTGTTCCACGTTGAACTGGTGGTTATCAGCATCTATATGCATAGACATTAGGGAGTTCTGCTCTTGGCGTAGAATATCAAGGCTGCGTTCATGTACGCGTTGCGTCAAGCTTACTTCCCTCAGTCTCAATTCATGCTTGGCACCTTCTGCGTAACAGATGTTGGAGACCACATCAGTTTTGCCTCATTGCCACGTTTATCTTTTACCATAAAGCGGTTACAGCGAATTGTCTGGGGACCACGTAGTTTGGCTCGTGTCAATTCGTCAACTGAATGGATGTATTTGGGAAAGCGTGTCGTCAAGGCGCTTTTTTGAAAAACAAGGATGAGGTGAGTCGGAAGGGCGTTCCAGGCATGGGACATTTGAAAAGAGAAAACATTTCGTAGAGAATTAAGTCGACTGTAGCGCGTGGCCAATTGAGCTGGGGTGGCCTCTCAGTTTGGCATTCTGGCTCAGTTGCAACATGTCGCGACAGGTCTAATTTGGGTTTCCCAGTGTTAGGTAAACCATGTTCAGGTCTCCACGCTGACGCCGATATGAACCGTTGTACCATCTCACGGATTGCAATCTGTGTTTGTAGAAGAAACGGAACAATACCCTAGCACTTTGTCGTTGTGAAGTTTCAAGTGCATCAACATCGTGTTTGCGCCAGGGACGCCAGAGTTGGATCACGTATTTCACGTGGGACCTAAAATAGGCTTTCAGCACTTGAGAAAACATGACAAGCTCGCACTTCCTGAACACCATATGTAGGAGTTCAAGTTGTTAATTGCATTTTTGATGAGTTTTGGCTTGTTTCGAGCATTAAATGTCATCCTGTATGATTACCCCGAGGTGGCTTTTCTGGGAAGCACTTGCAATTGCCGGCCCCAAGTCAATGTTCTGAGATGCTTTGATGGCGTATGCTTACGACTTTTGCATTTCGTCCCGTTAAACTGAAGCCGGTTCTCGGATGACCACTTACAGACCCTGTCGATATTGCTCATCAGCGCCATGTGATCGTCCATTGGCTTGATGTCATTTCAGATGTTGACATCTGCAAAATAGAAGAAAGTTCCACTGGATTACCCTGGCAGGATCTTAACCAATACTAGGGAAAAACATGGTCCGCTACTGATTCCGTCCTGCACACCAGAGTAGAATTCGATTGGGTCAGCAATGGGGCTGCATCATCTCACATTGAGCTGACGTTGAATGGGGAAGTTGCTAACGCAACCTAGGACAGGGTCACCGATTCCATATCTTCGAAGCTTGAGAATACGGTGGCCCAGTTGGTCGAACGCTTTAGGGAAATCCAAGTATACGACGTAGACTCCTATTCTGGCATCGAATGACTCCGTTCGGCTTGGTTAGGCTAGCAGAAAGCTTATAGTGCAGGACCGATTGCGGCGAAATATGTGTTGCTGTGACACCACGATGTTGTTGCTCTAAAGTTAGCAATGAGTGCCTTGTGATAATTAGCTCAATTAAATTGGATAACACTGGGAGGAGGTTGATCGGATGGTAGTTCGAAGAATCTGCACGTTTGCCACTCATGTAAACAATGGTGACGATTCCATATTTCCATATTGCGGCAACCTGGATTTCATTAAGACAGTTGAAAAAACAATCTAACGATTCAATGATGTTTATGACCATTGTATTCATTGCCTTCGGTCTTATTTCATCCACGTCAGGAGAACTGTGCACGTGTAAAGATGAGTCTTTTCATCAAATTTGCTGGCATGAGCGACACGTGACTTAACCCTGGGGACGGTTGGAGCCGTGTCAGAAGCCGGTGACATAACGATTCACAATGGACAGTGCCGATAAAGTGCTTCCGTAGCGCTTTTACCGCCTCTTGTGAAGTTAGCCGATCCGTGGCCTTAAGGATCACAAGCCTGACTTGTATACCGACAGCGGGGTTTCTAGACTGCGTCGGGACCGGGCGACTCTCTCAGTATCCTTAGCCCCCGTGCGGTTGGTAGTGGTTGCGGTGCAACGAAGCGTCGGCACTGCGTACCGGCGTACTGCTGTTGCCCAAGATAGCAATAGTGTGGCTTCGATTCCTGGTCAGGCGGACAGGACACTTGCTGCTGATAATTATCGCGTGGGAAGAACCGGGGTCCACGCATGTACCGGACGTGAGACACCCGTTTCGTCCATTTTAAATGAGTAATATCCCACCTAACTTGTTAGCAAAATCTACCGTAAAAGCATTCAATAAAGCTACTTTTCATTTTAACAATATATCACGTTGTTCAATAAGCTCCATCAGTTGGTGAGAGACAGTACGGATGTGACCCACTCGCGGAAAGCGACAGTCCATCTGGCTTGTCTCTGTTACCAATCTAGTGCGGCGTGTTGTTATGACGATTGAGTTTTTAACATCATACACCGCGGCGCGTGTCACAATTGTCTATTTGGTTGACCGGGTGTTGTGTTAAATCATGGAAACCACCCAATGTGTGTGGTTTGGTTGTTTTAATGCCGACACAGAGTTGGAACAAACAGCACTTACAAAAATGCAAAATATACATATGTTAAATGTAAATATAACTCATGACTTTCAGATGGTAAGCAGAATGATGGAACGAGGTTCAAAAAGTGAATAGTTACAGCCATATCGCATTTTTGTTTGGGCGCGGGGGGGGGGGCGAAATCATCACGTCGGAGCCGATTATAATCACTGTTTCGGCGTCAATCATCAAATAGTACTCCGTATATCAGAGTAAAACGGAGAGCATTTAA